GGGAGAGTTTCCAAAGGAAAACCCCCCTCCAAAAATGGTCGTATGCCGTTACTTGTGACGAGCACACGGTATTCTTTAGTAAAAGGCGAAAGAATAGTTCGCTCTGTGCTCAACACACGGCTGCGTGATTCTATTAATTGGGGATGCTTGCATTATATACCAAGGGATTATGCTTCTTGTCGGCTGTACTTTTCGATGTGGGACTTGCTTACTGCTGAAATGCCTTCTATTATGGCCATTTCAAGTTTCAATCTGCATCTCATTGCCAGTCTAGTTCTGTCTCTCTCTGAGCTGTGCTTATAAAACTTGTTCAACCATGTTGATTTTACAAGATTCAAGTAGAATAAAAAAACCAAGAGCATCTTTGTCTCACTCAGGAAAGTGGGGTAACAATACAACATGCTTAGCTCTTGTTATGAGCTTAGCTTGTTACTCAAGGGGTAAAAATTTGGTTCTAAAGGGTTGATTCAAGTGGCCCAGGTGTTTTGGAGGGTTGTGAGTATCAATTAGAAAAATAAATAAATAAATAGAAAATGATATTTCGTGACTTTAGTATTACACACTCACTTTTTAAGAAAAATAATTGCTGCAAGTTGTTTGAAGGACAAAAAATTCTTGACTTAAGCCAAAACGATAAATTTGTTCACAAGGAAAATGGTTTCTTTGAATCCACAAAGTAAAGTGTTTTGAATCCACAAAACTAAGAATAATTTAGAGAAATTTGATATTTGTATTGATAATTAAATGAATAAAAGTTAATTATGCACTTGACAGTACACATATTTATAATAAAAGAAAACCAAGCTCTAGAAGAAAATTAAAACATAAAGAAACCTAATAGCAAAAGGAAAATAATATTTAAAAAATAAGCCTAAAAATTAAGTGTTTCTAAAATTTTCGAAAAAAATACAATAAGAAACCTAATAAATAAAAAATGCTAAATCGAAAATTTTCAAGCAATCAGACTTTGTTTATATTCCCAAAAAAATAAAGTAAGAAATCTAATAAATAAAAAATACGAAATCTAAAATTTGAGAGCAATCAGACTTTTGTTTAGACATCGAACAAAAATCCAGAAATAATCAACATATCTCCTATGGCATAATAAAATGCAATTTTATGGCTCACAAATTAAATCTAGTGGGTTTTTCTCAATTGGACGTTTTCACCACAAAAAAAAACTATCGATTTGTCAAAAACGGACTTATCGAACTGCTTGTCGAACTAATTCTGTACTACATCACTCCTCCTCAACTCGAGAGGGATAGGCCACACATCCTCAATTCCCTTCTCATTTCTCTCCCAAGGATAACGTTATTGTTTCAAGAAGCATATGCCTAATTTTGATTGTAGCAAATGTCATTGTTGATGTTGGTAATGAACATGCTAGGGATGGGCGAATCATATCACAGAAACACTTTATTTTCTTTCCAAATATGACTTGTTTTCAACCTTCATCCAATTGAGATGTACTTTGCATGAGCTTTCTTATCCTCTGGTGTTCCATTTGAGGTCACAAGTTTAATCTTTTACCTAGTATGGCATTGAAGTCTAAGGGCCCATTTGGCATGCGCTTTGTTTTAGGTGCTTTGTTTTTGACTAAAACAGAAACAATATTTTTGCTATATGAATGTTTTGAAAAAAAAATCGAAAATACGTTTGGGAATAATGTTTTGCTATGGAAATCTCAGAAACAGAAATATGCAAAATATGTTTGGTTGGTAATGCGTTTCAAGAATTTCAAAAACAAAGCATGTTTGGTCACTCCAACTAAAATTGGTAGAGATAAAAATAGTCACAATTAAACAAGATTAGGTATGAGTAACTTTTATTTTCTCCACTATCCTTGGTTCTTCTTAGAGAATTCTTTTTCTTTGCTAATGTATTGATATTATTATGATTAGCAAATCCCAACATTTCTTTTGCTTTCTTTGGAGTACATAATCTTTCTGCGAACCTGTAGGCTATGTGCCATTGCCTACTGGTTTGACTTCATTGCTTCGAGATTTTTTAAAGAAAATTTTTCAACCTATAAGTTCTCTAAAAAGAAAAAGAAAAAAAGAAAAAGAAAAAGATAGCTAATTCAATTCAACTCAACAAAACCATCCATTCCATTGAAATACATTTGATAACACAATATACAACCTATTGCGTATAATAAAAAAAAAAAATCCAACAATTTTACATAAAGATGTCTCAGCTGTCTATACACAGCTCTTGAATTATATTATTTACAAAAGACAAAATTGGAAAAAAAAAAAATCTTACAACACTTCAAGTGCTTTCTGAAACTGCATTGACACCAAGAAAAACAACCAAATAGGGTAGAGTAGTCCCATTTATGTCCAGCATTATAGAAGGAAGCAAAGTCCAGGAGGTTCCAAATTTTGCCAACAACAACATGGTCACAATTGGAAGTCTTCTATATAAAAGCACAATTCCAGTCCACTCTAAACAATAACAATGAACCATTATAGCACTAAACACACGGAACATTATCCAGATAATACTTGAATATTCCAGTCACCATCAACATGAATTCCCTTAAAAATTAGAAACAAATAGGCACATTAACATAATGAAGTAACAACAGGAAAATTTATTAAAAGTAATTGAGCTGAAAAATGACATGTTCACCATTTTTTTAATACTCAGCAACCATATAGCACCAACACCTAAGAGTATCTTCCACCCTAAATTCCTCATTTTCTAGTGATCATCAACATCAATACCCACAAAAATTTAGAAACAAAGACGGAATAATTATAACTACTTTTTCTTTTGGTAATTAGACTTTCATTAACAAAGTAAAACAAGTATTCAAGAGGCATTCCCCAGCATAGAAAAAGCTCCAATGCCACCAATCCATAATGAGAAAAGAAAATAGAACTTTCCCCAAATTTTAAAAAAGAAAAAGAAAAAACATTTGACCAGCAAATTAAAGTATTTTTTTTTTTTTCCAAGAAGCAAGCTTGATTTTTATTCCTAAATCACAAACTATGAATACAACATTCAAGGAGGCATACCTCCTCTCCACCAACAAAACAACACAAAAACAATCAAACCTATAGCCAACAAAGACAATACTCAAAAGGCAGAGAAAAAAAAATTCACCACCAACGAAAATAAACTCTCACAATAAACCTAATATCAAAAAGTTTTTAAACATCAAACAAAACCAATTTAAAACTCTATGTCAGCACAACACTAACTATTGCAGGCCCTTTCATTGAAGTAAACAATTTTTCACTCAACCTAACAACAAAATTATAACTGGCCAACTAATAATGTTTACACACAAGAGTCCAGCAAATGGTCCAGAGCAAGACTGCCAAACTAATCTTATACAATCTGCAATACCTACCATGTTCTGATAAGTATCAAGGAACCAAAACAAATACCAACCTAGACACAGGTGTAGAACTGAGCATAACCACCACATTACTTTAACTTCTTACTTAAAACTAATTCAGGTAAATTCAATTCCCTATTTACCCCTTAAGAGAATAAAATTTGAGTCTGACAACCTCAATAATTTCTCTTTGGAGAATAGAAATAACCCTGAAGTCATTTTTAAATAATTTTTTGTTCCTCTCCTTCCACAAAGTGTATACTGCAGCAGCCAAAACTACCATGTTTAAAGTAACAATCAAAGTATTTCTTTTAAGAGTAATCAATTAATGAGATGGACTCAATCCCCAACAGGCCAAGATAAGAGAGACATTTGGAAGCAACTTGATTCATTCATAAACAATAATAAGCATGGTTTTAAAGAAAAATGAACCAAATCGAACCTCAGAAAACTGGCATTTGTGGTCGTTTATCAGAAAAAATGAAAAAAAAAAAAAAAAAAAAAAAAAAAAAAAAAAAAAGGGTTTCAAATCAATGAACTTATATGTTTAAGAAAACCCTAAAATCATACAATATCTGACGATTATTAACCACAAAAGTCGAAAAAAGAATTGAGAAACATGAAATATGTTCAACATAGTGCAATAAACAAGAAAAAATTGCTCAAACCTGCCTTGTTCTTCGACGAAGACAACAAAATGGTAAAGATCGGTGACCAGATTAAACAAAAACACCACTAAAAGCAAGGATCGGTCGTGGATTTCAGCCAAACAAGCACACACAGTAGAGTCGCCACAAAATGGCCTCCGCTCGAGCTCTCTAAAAAACCCTATAAAATGACTGAAATGTTTTAAGCGTGCTTTATATATGTGTTGCAAGTCTGGTTTAAGTTAGTATTTTTACTTCCTCTGCTACAGTGATTATTTGGGCCAACAGTACCCAAAACACAGTAAAACACCAAAATGGTGTTTCAACTTTTGGCCCAAAGATAGAATCTATTTTGACATTATTGACAACAAAGCAGACCGAACCAAACATGTTTTGGGCTAAAAAATTATTACTGTAGCAGGCCTGCAACAAAAACGCATGAAGTAAAACAGATACTAAACAGGGCCTAAGCAACTTCCCAACAAACTTTATTATTGAACTCTTGTTATGAGCCAACCATGTTGGCTTTTACTTCATTCATCAACATCAGTAAACAAAGTTTTCAATGATCCCTATTTATAAGCTTAGCATATTGCCTTGGTACTCCAATTTGGTAGCTTAAAAGAAAACAGCTTTTTGTTTTCTTATTCATTCAGGATACAAAATCAACATAGAACTTTGGTTTTCTTAAGAGGAAACTCTGTCATGTTGAGAGGGATAGAGAGTTGGAATAGTAGTGAAATCAATGGTAGTAATCCTGACAATAGCCAATCACTGGAAAGACACATCAGCAAAGGGCCAATCACTGTGTGAAATAAATGCATTTAGCTTTTTGGTGATATGTCACATAGTGATTGACCGAAACTAATGATAAGCCAATTTGCTTTGTCAAGAATACTTTGTTGAGACAAAACTCTAGGCCTTTTGGACACTACTACATTCCCAAGTGCATACATGACAGCTGCAAATAGAGAGAAGCCTTACAATTACGAATTGATGGGAGAGTTTCCAGAGAAAACCCCCTCCAAAAATGTGCGTATGCCGTTATAAGTGACGAGCTCACGGTATTCTTTAGTAAAAGGCGAAAGAATAGTTCGATATGTGCTCAACACACGGCTGCGTGAATTTTAACAATTTGGGATGCTTACATTATATGCAAATGAATTCTGCTCATTTTCGCTGTCACTTTTCGATATGGGACTTCCTTACTGCTGAAATGACTTTCATGGCCAGTTCAAGTTTCAATCTATATCTCTCCCATTTTAGCCCCCATCGTCATTGCCAGCTTAGTTTTTCATTCTCTGAACCATGCTTATCAAAGTTGTTCTAAGCATCTTGATTTTATAAGATTCGAGTAGGATAAAAAATCAAGAGCATCTTTGTATACAACTTAGGAAAGTGGGCTAACAAGCTGTTGGGAAACGTGCTAGTTTTAAAAACTTTTTGAGGGATTTTGATTCATAGATCTTGATTCATCACATAGAGACAAGTTTTATGCAAAAATAAAATATGATGTATCATTCAATTAATGGATTGAATACTTACATCAAAGGTCTGAGTAAACATTTAAATCTTTCCTCTAAAGTGAATGTTCTCACTTATTGTAGATCCCTTAACAAGATGCCTTCTCCTTGGATCCCCATCTTCTTGGTAATTGTTTTGTCTTTAGGAATCACTCATAAGCCTCCATGAATGACCTTGGAAAACTAGGCTTGTGGGAGCCTCCATTAGATGAGAACATAAACCCTAATTTTCTAGAGAGAGAAAATAAATTCCTTTTTCCTTCTTCTAAAATCCACCCCAAAATATACATAGACCATGTATATTTATCGGCAACATAAAGGTAAAGAAAAGGAAACAATGAATCCTTCTCAATCTCTACTTTACATGTCTCAAATCTAATATGATTCCAATATCAAGTTGGACTATGAGTGAGAATCCATTGGGCTTATTACTTTATTGGCTACAATGAATTAATAATTGGCCCGGTCCATGAACCTAATTCAATTAATTCATAAATTAATTTCTACTCCACTAAAAGAAATTAATTGAACTCCAATTAAATAATAAATAACCTCTAAGTCAATATTACACTTTGACCCCTCTATACATAATTAGTTATCGGATAAATAAAGCCATCAATCCGACTACTTAATTAATATATTTATTTAGGTACCTTTGATAATTTCTGGCTCGATCACAATAAAACATTTATTTGACAAAAATAATAATTTAAATAAATAAATATATAATAAATCATTTTGTCTAAAAACACACGAAGGCCTTCGAATTTACTTTGTGATCAACCATAATCAATACAAAATAAATACAACTAGCAATGATGCAAATATTGAAAATATAACCCTCTAATTATTAATTACATAACTACCCAAAGTGTCAGTCTAAGGATCCCGAAGAATCCGCCGAACAAATCAAAGTAATTATTAATTAATAAAAGAGTCTATAATTTTCCCATGCTTAAGAGTCAAATGCTATAACGGTGATAGGGAGCAATTGCATACGACGGCTCTCGCAATATATCTTAACCTAACGCGGATCCAGTTCAAGTCTTAATTAATTATGAGTCCATCCATAATTACCGACTATAAACAATTTATAATTACTATTTATATATCATACATTGATTGCCATCACATACATATATATAAATATTTCTCGTAATCACAGGGACACTATCAATTTCATAGTGAATCGAAACATAATACATTAAATTCACCAATTATATAAATCATAAATATTTCAGATATGTCAGTAACATATGTCACTATAATCCAGATAGGAATTTGCTATGCCAGGGCATATAAATCCCAACAGCTCCCACTTGCTCTCATAGCCAATTCAAATTGCATCTAACTCCAATGTTATCCAGGTGTTGATCAAAACTATTGATCGACGACACCTTTGTTAATGGATCAACAAAGTTGTGTTCCAATGCAATGTTCTAGCCACAAGTACATTTTCCTCATAGCCAATTCAAATTGCATCTAACTCCAATGTTTTCCAGGTGTTGATCAAAACTATTGATCGACGACACCTTTGTTAATGGATCAACAAAGTTGTGTTCCAATGCAATGTTCTAGCCACAAGTACATTTTCTTGCCGGACAATATCATGTAGAACATGATACTTCCTATCAGTGTATTTTGTTCATCTATGGAACCTTGGGTCATTGGTTTGGACTATTTCTGTACTATTGTCGCAATATAGCTCGATAGGCAGGTTAGTATGCTCCACAACCTCTAAATCAGTGAGATCAAACCAATAGGCTTCTTTTGCCGCCTTTAAGGCTGCAATATATTCCACTAGCAGGTTTGAGTCAGCAGTTGAAATCTGCTTAACAATCTACCAACTGATTTCCCTTCCATTAAGTGAACATACACTAAGTTATGAACCTCATAGTATCTACTTCTGATTGAAAATCAGAACTAGTATACCCGACTAGGACCATATCATCACATCCATAAATGAGTATGATATCATTGATTCTCCTTAGTTACTTAATGATATTTTTCACAACAGACCAGTTGTCAAGTCCAGTATTGGACTGATCTTTACTGACTATCCCTACTATGTAGCGGATGTCCTATTTGGTATAGACCATGGCATATATGAGACTCTCATATGCTGAAGCATATTGTTCCAGTCTCATTTGCTCAATCTCATTTGATAGTCTTGAAAAACTACTTACTAGAGAGAGCAATCCATATCAATAAAGCAAGAACTCATTCTTTGAGTTATGCATACCAAACCTGGTCAAAACTTTATCAATGTAGGATTATTAAGATAAACCTATTTTCCTTTTAACCCGATCTTGTAAAAGCTTGATCCTAGGAATATAGCTTACATCATGAAAATCCTTTATTTAAAAGTAATTGAACAACTACCTTTTTATTGATGACAAAACTTCCACGTCATTATAAATGAGTAGGATGTCATCAATATATAGAATTAAAAACTAATGACATTCTCTTGTACACTCATGATTTATTCACTAAGAAATCTTCTGGTATCTTTTTGTAGATTAACTTGCCTTCCATAGGTATCACCCTACTAGAAAGTTCTACAAGATCCCAGAATTTATTAGAATACATAGATTCCAACTCTGATTTCATAATAGCTCGCCAAAACGATCTGTATCCATATCGGTTCACGCTTCCGTGTAGTTTACTGGGTCCAACTCATGTTTAACAGGGATGTCCATAATGGTCTCACCTAAAAACATGATTCTATCGGTTGGATGATAATCCTCCCACTACATTAATGTACCGATGCAGGAATCTGTGTACTAGATGATGCTGACGCATCAATAGGGAATTCATATATTATTCTCAATCTCTATAATAAGTGTGTTCACATGTGGTACATCTGGTACTCATACCATATTCTCTAACATTATGCTACTAGGTGTATGATTCATAATATGATTCTCCTATAGATAAACAGTGAGTGTAAACAATCAACTTTTATCTTTGAGATCATAAAATAATCCATCCTAGTGACTTAAGAGTAGCTATCATATCTAGCATGCCTATGATCTGCTTTCAACTTACTTGTCCATATCAAACGCACATGTGCTAGACTACCCCATACGTGCATGTGATTCAAACTAAGATTTAGTAAAAAACACAGCTCAACGGTATCCTTGAGACAGACTAAGATGGAATGCAGTTCATAATGCGCATCGATGTCATTAACGCTAAACTCTTAAATGAAAGAGATAATGTGGCATATCTGATCATAGATCTAACCATGTTAAGTGGAATTCTGTTATTCCTATTTGACACCTAAATGCATTTAGCGTCAATTGCGGAAAACTGGTACATAATACCCTCATTGACCATATAGTCTTTGCACTATCCCAAGAAATATTCATATCCTCGATCAGATCGAAGTGTCTTGATAAGTTTACCTAATCTGTACTCCACATTAGTCTTGACCCTCTCGGAATATACCAAAAGTATAAGACTTGTGTCGCAACAGGTAAATTTATCCAAAACGTGAGTAATCTTGCTTGGATGTTCACAAGACCACACGTATCTGTGTGTACCGACTCCAATTGTCCTTTATGTCTATTTCATTTGGCTGATTAAGCCCTTAGAGTTATCTATCCTTCAAAACAGGATTCACAAGTTTGGTTTAGACTCCTCTGCCTCACTAGGTAATAAACCTTCTTTGACCAATCTTTGAATCTCATTTTGATTGATAACAACCCAAAAATAGACATTAAAAATACAATGAGTCAGAAATAACAAATTTTCTCTTAACCTTCAATCTAGAAGATGCAACATTAGTTTCTACATCCTGCAAATCTTAAGAGCTTGTGGTTATAGTATATTAACCATCTTTTAATGCACCAGAAGTAATCGCATATCTATTCAATTTTATAAAACCAGTTTTATAAAATAACAACACAGTTTTTATAAACCAAAAGTGAAACAAGAATTAGATTGCGTTTAACATCTGTACATAAAGATAGTTCTCTAATACTAATATCCTCATACTCTCTAATTTCAGATGTAATACTCCCACTGACTTAGCTACAACCTTGACATCAGGTTAAAAGATAAATATATATCCATATCATCGAGGCTTCTGGATTCCTGAAGTCCTTGCAAAGAATTGCAAACATACTTAGTGGCTCCAGAATCTATCCATTAGGAATTAATAGATACAACTACATAACATGGCTCAATGATTAAATATATATTTTCTTATGCCACGTCATTGCTTAGACAGTTCGTCCTTGAGTGCCATAGTTAGCGGCAAAAGAAACAATTTAATTTGCCCTCAACATACACTGCCTTATTCCCTTTAACCTTTTGGATACCCATGTTTTGTGCTAGCCTAGTCCTATTATCATCCTTCTTCTTTGCTTTGCCCGTCCACTTGGGCCTAGAAGAAGATGGTATAGACTAGGTTAGATTGATAGGAACGCCCATACTCTTGATTATCCCTTCATCTGTTACCAATTCTATAAGAATATCAGCGAGTGTGAACTCAAACTAATTCCTTATTTAGTTCACTCTAACAAAGTCGAACGAGTTTGGTAACAAGGCAATAATCATGTCAACTTGAAACTTACCACCCAAGTCAGCCC